AGAGCCAGGAGCTTAATCTGATCTCTATGTGGGTGCAGGGGCCCAAAGTCTTGGGCCATCTTCCCCTGCTTTCCAGGCACACCAGCAGGGAGCTGGAACAAAAATGGAACAGCTGGGACTCAAACGAGCACCCATATGGGATGCCAGCGCCACAGGTAGTAGCCTTACCCACTACACGACAGCTCTGGCCCTCACCATTATACTCTTAACTTCTATGAAATCAACTTTTAAAAATTCCACGAGTGAAATTATTGGTACTTGTCTTTCCATGCTTGACTTATTTCACTTAATGTAACCATCCACGTTGTTGCAGATGACAAAATTGTATCTGTTTATGGCTGAATAGTATTTCATTGTGTGTTTGTACCATATTTTTTCTTTATGTACTCATTCATTTGATAACACTATATACCGATAACGTGATCTTACATACAAAAAACTATTAGAACAAAGTCAATGAAGTTGCAGATGCAAAGTCAACATATAAAAATTAGTAGTGTTGTTAGACACCAGTAACAGTTTATAATTAGCAGTTAACAATTGGTGAAAAGGAAATTTTTAAAGTCCCATTTCTAATAGCTGTAAAAATAAATATCTAGAAATAAATTTAACCACAGAGGTCCCAGATTTCTACATTGAAAACTATAAAACACTGATGAAAGAAATTGAGAACATAAAGAAATGGAAAGACACCCCATGTTCATAGAGTAGAAGAGTCAATATCCTTAAAGTGACCGTATTACCCAAAACAGTTCACAGTTGCAGTGCAATGTCTATGGAAACATCAATGATGTTTTTCATAAAATTTGAATGGAACTACAAAAGATACTCCCGTCCCCCGATTGCCAAAACACTCTTGAGCGGAAAGAACAAAGCAGAGGTGTTATACTGCCTGACTTTAAAATGTATTACAGCGCTGCAGTAATTAAAGCAACATGGCATTGGCATAAAAAACAGACATGTAGAGACCAATGGGACGGAATAGAAAACCCGAGAAGTAAACTCATGCATTTACAACCAACTGATCTTTGACAGAGGTGCTAAGGAACATGCAATGAGAAAAAGGTGGTCCTTTCGATAGATGGTGCTGGGAAAATTGGATATTCACATACAGAAGAAAGTAGACCCCTCTCTGGGTAATGTATAAAATCAACTCAAAATGGGTTAAAGATCTGAAACTTTGAACAACACCAGGGGAAACACTTCAGGACATTGGAAAGGGCAAGGATTTTTGAATTAAAACCACAGAAAACAAAAGCAGTAACAGACGAATGATTTCCTCAAACTGAAGTACTGTTTTTAATCAAAAAAGCCTATAATGTAAAGGTGGAGAATGCGTGTCCTATGGTCCACATAAGGCCTGCCAAATCATTTGCTCTAGCCCTACTATAAGTATCCAGTGGCTTTTGACAGAAAATAAAAGTTCCCCGCCTCTGTATGATTTGCTATAAGGCTCCTACCTAAATATGTCCATTTTGATATTTTTACCTAAAATCTAAATGAAGACAAAAAACTTGAATTTACAAATAACTCATATCTGACAGAGCCAACACACAGCATAGTAGAATCAGGCTAACAATAGACCTTGATAAGTTTAAAGCTAATCCAATCATGATAAGGTAAACTTTAATGAGAATAAATATGAAATTCTCTCTATAGTTCTAGAAGTCTGTTGTACCTGCTCTTTTTTTTTTTTTTTAAGAAAAAAAAGCCTTGTTTAAAAAAAAAACAGTAAGAGTTTGAATTAACTATAGGTTCCTTTTAAGCCATTAACAATTTAGTGAACTGAATAACTAAGGAAGAAACAGTCCCACTATGGGTTTGCTATATTAGAGCATCTACTGATACCGTATTCTATTCCAGATACTAGAATTTAATAGAAACATCAGTAAACTGAGGCAATGATCCAGGATAATGAGTATGTTTATACACTGTAAGAAGAAGAACTAAGGACACTTTTAATCTGAAAAAGAAAGTTGAGATATTTATTAGCCTGAATTTCAAGTATCTGAAAGTATTATATATAGACTACAGATTAGATTTATTTGGTAAGGCTCATTTTGGAAGAATTAGCTTCAAAGGCAAGTTTTATCTTAGTATAAAGAATATCCTAATGATTCTGGCTTTTTAAAAATGAAATGAAGGGGTAGGCATTAGGCCTAGCAATTAAAATGCAGGTTAGGACACCCACATCAGATACCTGGGCTTAACCCCTGGGTCCTGCTCCTTGATCCCAGCTGACACAGACCCTCAGAGGCAGGGGTGACAGTGCGCTAATAGTTGTGTTCCTGCCACCCATGTGGGAGACCTGGCTTGCGCTCCAGCCCCAACAGTTGCAGGCATCTAGGGAGTGAACTCGCAAATGAGAGCAATCTCTGTGTCTGTCTCTCCCCCCACCGCATTTTAAAATGAATTATTAATTTAAAATAAGAAATGAAATGGGCTCATTTGTGCATTAGTAAACATCACAATCTTAGAAGAATTCCAGCAAGAGCAGGATATATACTTCAGGGTACTGTGTTGAGCTTTCCTCTTGGGTAAGAAATTCCAAGTTTAAGCTCTCTTCGAGTATTAAATTTTGCAATATATTGGGGACCTCAGCTTTATACATTTAATTGCTTCATCTTCATAAATACATAATGATCATCTATAGCCTGTTATAAACTTTGAGTTCCGAATGACTTTAGCAGCAGGTAAAGTGAATCTAAAATAGTTTGGTTGATAATGATTTTAACACATCTACCCCATGTACAGAAGCCTTGTACACCATTGCAAAAATGAATTAGCATTTGGTCCAAAAACGTGTAGCTAGAAACCTCCTTTCAGAATTTTCAGAGTATAGGAAAACCTACTAAGTATACGTAGAACACAGCCTTATAAGTCCATAAGAGACAGGAATAAAATTAGTGTGAAAAATATTTATGGCCTACAATTTACTAGTAACTCTTCACCACTAAAAATTCATGCTTTCAATATTTTTTCAAAAATTCCCAAGGCACATAGCAACAATTAGCAATTTCTCAATTTGTGTCTAATAATTATATCTCAATTTTGAGAGATGTAAAGACATGCCTCATCATGACAGCCTAATATAATTACTTGTTTAGCATTTGAATACAGATGATAAGGGATTTTCATGAAGCTTTTCCCTTAAAATGTTTGAACATGTTTAGGATGACTCTGTTAGATACATGGTTCTGTGCCAAAAATCTTCAGTGTAGCATCTTGACAAAAATGTGGTGCTCTTTTTCCATTAAACTTCTATAACAAACTTTAATCCTGTATGGAAGATATTTGAAGTCAAGCTTTGGTTATGAGATAAAAAGTACGGTTGCCCTTTTCTCTCATTTCTTTAGATAAGTGGGCACTAGAAATTATAGGTAGTTTTGGCAAGAGTTCAAGGGTTAATGTAGCAGATAAATAAAAGGAATTTTCTGTAAATTGAGACCTGCATTATTTCAGTTGTCTTGTCTTTCCTAACCTAACTCACTTAATTTTAAAAAGTAAATACTTAAATTCTTCCTGACAGTGTGCTCAGCTTTTACTATCGTTTATTACTTCAATTATACTTGATATCACTTAGAACAATCTGCCATTTGGAAATCTCAGTATAGCCTGGAGCTTAGTATTAGATCTGGCTGCTATTGTAACATGTACAGCATATGACATTAATGTATCAAAATTAGATTGGATCATCCCTCCTGGTTAAATTTATTTCACATTTCTTTTGTATTCAGTTAACATAAACCTATTAGGAAAGCTGACACATGGCGATGGCTGTATAGGAAGGATATTTTTAAAGTATTTTGATTAAAAAATGAAATTATAGAGCCATGGCTTTTCTGAATTGTGTAATCTTTTATGCCTTTTAAAAATGTCACAAAGCCCAAGTTTCATATCATTCCATTTGTGTGCGTGTGCGTGTGTGTGTGTGTGTGTTACACACACAGATATAAAGAGTTACTTTGGATTAAGAAGTGACAGAAGGGAGCCTTTCACTAGCTGCGTTTAACTCCTGTCTTTGTTTAAATCACACATTAAGTTTTTTTTTCCTATCCTGTTGTCTGTAAGCCAAAATAAATTGCACTTTTAAGAATAGCAGTTGCCCATATATTAGCTTATTGTATAAATATTGATGATACTTATCTCTTTCTCACTTCTAAACTTGCTCATCTGCAATATTTCCAGTTACCTGAAAGTGATGGAAAAGCTCATGTAAGATACTCACCCAAACAGACTTAAATGATTGTAGTGATAAAATCAATAAATATAATACAACAATGAAATTTTGTAATAAAAATCATGTTTATAACTCAAGACTCATGGGCATTGAGTTCATTTTTCTAATAATTAGAAACCAACTTCTGGATGCTTTGCTGTCTTAGAATTTTAACTATTAAATGTTAACTTTGTGAGCGATGGAAACAACTTTGTTAAGTACCGCAAATATTTAAACAACATCTTGTTAATATAACAAATCTCAAGACATTTATTTGGAAGAAATTTTAAGTTCCATAGGCAAAACCTGAAAGAAATCATAAAACCAATCAACTTTCTCATACTCAGTAGGCAATATATAATTTATGAATTATCTATTTTATTTCTGTTCCAGTTGCCTACTTTAAGCTACTTAACTGCTCATCAGCACTTTCAGAAAAAAAGAGAATTATTTCAAATCGGTCATTCTTTTAAAACACTCTTTTAAGCAGTCTTTAAAGGGTTGGTATAGTGGAGAACTGAGACATTTGCCAGTTAAAAATAGTATTTGGTCTGACTAGAAGGCTTTTTTAATCCAAGTTCTGTTTCTCATTGACTATGGAAAATTATAATTTTCTGTTCTTCTTTAGTGTCTCCTAAAGTCTTTAAGTGTGCCATTCACGTTATAAAAATGATTGAATGCATTTTTAAAAATTGATTTCTTTACCCTTTTGCCTTTTTTATACTGTATTGTCAGTAACTGACTGTATGAAGCACTATCCATGATTTTCTTGCTTTTCCAGTTGAGACATTTAGGAAATGATGAAGTACATATTGTTTGGTCAGAGCATACTAGAGACTACAGACGAGGGATTATTCCTACAGAATTTGGTGATGTCCTTATTGTAATATATCCAATGAAAAATCACATGTTCAGTATCCAGATCATGAAAAAACCAGAGGTAAGAACTCTATAACTTCTATTTTAGTAGTAGATTTTGGGTTTATGAGTTTCTTTCCATCTTACAGAAGAGAAAGTAGAGTAGGCATTAAGTTGTGAAAATAGGGGGAAATATAACACAGACTTTCCTAGCTATATGGATTGTCTAAGCCTGTTTCAGAAGAAGGGAACATGAGGCAAATACCAAGAAACTGTGTTCAAATGGGGGATGGCTAGTTAAAGCCAGAGGGAGAGCTCCTTTGTACTGAGCTCACAAAAACACTTACCTTTTATTAATAGAATGGTTTTAGTTTCCTAAACAACACAGTAAGAAGTACTCTTTCCCTTTAGAATAGGAACAAATGGTTCCTATATTTTTAGTTGATACATCTTGCAAAGATTGTATGATTTAATTTTTCTGGTAAATGAGAATGCTACCAATTTTTAACCCAGTTGATCTTGCTACCTTTCCTATGGTTGGGTCTTTTATATACCATTGGGTTGAAACACATTAGTACAGAAATATTTTATTTCAAGATAATAAAGTTTGGTAATTTGTTAGTGTGTTCCTTTCTCTGTTTTTTTAAATTGAATTCTTTTAGTAAATTTTCAGCAATTGATTGTGAATCTTCAGAATTCCTTGATTGGGTAAAGTTTCCCATGTGTCTTAAGGTTCATTCAAACCAGAGATCAGCAAACTGTCCCACAGGCCTGATTTTCTACATCCCACAGGCTAAGAATATATTTTTAGATATTTAAAGGATTTTTCTTCTTTAAAAATTTGAATATACAACAGAGACAATATATGGCCACAAAGCCTAAAATATTTACTGTATTACCCACAACTCATGTCCTTGCCTTCAGCTTCCATTTGTGCTCTCCGTGTTCAAATAGAACAACTTTTGAAACTGTCAGTCACCTGATAAAAAGGACATTTGTTAACAAATCTTTTTCTAATAAATCACTAAGTAAGTGTTTTAGGTTCTACAGTAAAGGTAGTATCACCCAAAAATAATGAAAAGCCAACTTCCTGCCATAAGAATATACATCTTTCCTGTGTTTGCTCAGTGGAGAAAAGGAAATTACCTCCTCTGTTGGGGTTTTGTTTATTATTTAAACTACAAAATCTTGAAAATAGGCAGGATATGTACATTATTTAGTCAGTTTTAGAAAACACATAGTTCTCCTGAATGAAACCCTATGGACCTTTGGCATTTTTTGTTTATATATTATCCTTACCTAAATGGCTCACTATGGAAAAGAATTTAACTTGAATGGTATTTTTACTGAATGAAGAAGTAAAGAGGAAGCAGAAGCACTTTTGTATGCAAAATGTCTTGATTGCTCTTACTTGCGGTCTTTCTACATTTTGAATATAAAATTATATTCTAATTTCTCAATCAGGTTCCCTTCTTTGGTCCACTTTTTGATGGTGCTATTGTGAATGGAAAGGTTCTACCCATTATGGTTAGAGCAACAGCTATAAATGCAAGCCGCGCTCTGAAATCGCTGATTCCGTTGTATCAAAACTTGTATCCTTTTTTTAAATGTATGGTTTATACTCTAACGTATGCCTGCTTCCAAAGGTAAATATTTCTTAGGTGTTAAGAACTTTGGGTTTCTGTATATTGATATTTAAATGATAGATTTCCTTCCCAGTGTTTGAGCAGTTATGGCATTTGAATGATATGTCTTCTTTTATATACTTTTCATCAGTACTGATCTCTTAATTAATTAGAGCATCATTATGTGCCAGGCACTCTGCTTCTCTGAGGGTACAGAAATAACCACTCATGCAAAGAACTCAGTGTAGTTGGGAAAACATATTCTTTTCAGTATGTGCCATAATAGAGGTACAGGCATGTATTCCAGAAGTATAGTAACAAATGATCTGTGGCTCAGCTGAAAGGGGTGGTGGCATCAGGAAATGTATCTGAGAAATGTGAGGACTGAACCAATCTTGAAGGAAGAGTAAGTTACTTATATGGAAGAGATTAAGAGCTTTCCAAGTAGAGGAAACATCACCAGAGACAAGGAGGTATGAGAGGGCCTGGGAAACTTAAGAACATAGCTTGTAGAGACCAATTGCCTGGCTTCCCCTTCCTTAGCTTGTGTAGTCTTGTGCACATTAATTAACCTGAGCTTCCATTATCTAAGAAAGGAGGACAGTGATAGTATCTAGTTCATGGTGTCATGAGAACTATAAATGAATATTTATATGTAAAGCTCTTAAAACAGTGCCTGTCACATAGTATGTGCAAAGTTTTAAAATTTATTTTCTGATATTTTCTAAAGTGAATTTTTATTTTCCATATTTTTCTATATGATTAAAACATTACATTATTGTATTACATTATTTTTCTTTTGCATAATAAGTTTTGTGCTAAGTGTAAAATATCTTAGTTTGATTCTACATGAAATAGATTTATTCTAACTTGGTAGTCCACCACATATATTTTCCTGTCTGATGAAAATCAAGCTAAGCAATGTGATTTGATTATTATGTGATTTCTCATGTATTCTGACACTATGATATGAAATCACGGGTAGATCATAGCTTGTTACATTGATTAAGGTTAGTGACATTGTAACGTGTATTCAGTTACTTTAAGTTGAAGATTCAGATGTGAAGTGGTCATGTTTAATGCAGTGATAAGGATTGAGGAGCCCTGAATTTTTAACAAAAATATAATTTGGAGAAATCCACTAACTAGAAAGCTGCCAATTGAAAAATTCCATTGGGTAAGTTTAATGAGTAATATAGGCATGGGAAAAAACTGTTTATTTTCTGAATCTCTTGTCTGAGTATGCAGTCTGTTGGTGGTTTTTAAAGATTATTTTGAAGCAATGAGGAGGAACCATTAAGAAGAGCCTTTAGAGTTTTTTTAACCATTGCTGAGTTCACCAAGAAATCTGGTGTTCCTCTACTTTTAAGACCCTGAATCTGGAAAGCCACTTCACATGTGAATAAGCTATGAGATTGATTCATGCAGTGTGTATTCATTGTTCACACACCACATGGCTTTTTCTAATTTATTTTTTATTTTTCTATTTGCATGAACTTCCTAAATACAACTTTAGGAACATAGTAATTCTTCCAGTCATACCAGCCCTCCCATGCACACTCCTACCTTCCTACCCCTCCTCCTCTTCCCTCTCCTGTTATCAGTCTTGTTTTTTACTAAGATCTATTTTCATTTAACTTTATACACATAAGGTTAATTCTATTCTAGGTAAAGAGTTCAACACTTTGTATGAGGAAGAAAAAGAGAAAGAAAAACATTGAAAAAAAAACTGTCACATGCCCTTTTTTTTTTTTTTTAAGATTGATTTATTTGAAAGGCAGAGTTAACAGAGAGGCAGAGAGAGAGAGGTCTTCTATCCACTGGTTCACTCCTCAAATGACCACAGTGGGCAGAGCTGTACCAATCTGAAGCCAGGAGACAGGAGATTCTTCCAGGTCTCCCACATGTGTGCAGGAGCCCAAGGACTTGGGCCATCTTCCACTGCTTTCCCAGGCCGCAGCAAAGAGCTTTTTGCAAGTGGAGTGGCTGGGACTCAAACTGGAGTCTATATGGAATGCCAGCACTGCAGCTGCCGGCTTTACCCTCTAAGCCACAGTGCCAGCCCCTCATTTTTAGAGGTATAGCTCCACCCCCCATATACAGTATTTTTTCCTTTGAACAAAGCAAGATACTTACTATCAAAGTTCTCCCTTTCCTAATTAGCTTTTTCTAAATTTTAATTCTTCTGATTTTCATCTCATAATATTGTCATAAAAGCTTTGTGGTTTTAATCTAGTTCTTGGAGTATACTTTTCAGTTTGATGTCTCCTGAATATCTCTAGAAAGGCAGCTAATATCTGGAGTATATATATTATGTAATATTGTATGTGTAATAATATATAATATGCATGTTATAATATATAAATATATTGTATATAATATAAAATATATAAAATATATATTTCACTGGCAATTTTCTATAGATATAGATAGATAGATTATTGCCAGTAAAATAATTTTATCCTGTTAGCTTAAATCTTTTTGGAAAGTGGTGAAATAAAGTTGGATTCTAATGTAGAACCCTATTCGCCTCTTGTGTCAAAACAAGAACTCAATTTATTTTATTTTTATTTATTTATTTTATTTATTTTTTTTTTTTGACAGGCAGAGTGGACAGTGAGAGAGAGAGACAGAGAGAAAGGTCTTCCTTTGCCGTTGGTTCACCCTCCAATGGCCGCCACGGCTGGTGCGCTGCTGCCAGCACACCGCGCTGATCCGATGGCAGGAGCCAGGAGCCAGGTGCTTCTCCTGGTCTCCCATGGGGTGCAGGGCCCAAGCACCTGGGCCATCCTCCACTGCACTCCCGGGCCACAGCAGAGAGCTGGCCTGGAAGAGGGGCAACCGGGACAGAATCCGGCGCCCCGACCGGGACTAGAACCCGGTGTGCCGGCGCCGCAGGCGGAGGATTAGCCTAGTGAGCCGCAGCGCCGGCCCAAGAACTCAATTTATTGAGCAAAGATAAACTTTGTGATCTGAGGTACAAATCACATTTAAGGTAAATATCTCAACAAGTAGTTAACACAGAACCAGAGTGTTGGGGTTTCTGTTTTTTCTACAACCAATTTCATATTCTTCTATTTCAGATTTTCTTCTTATGCTAGAGGTATGAAAGTTGGATTTAGGAAACACTGATTTTTAACTTGAGCTGTCTTGCAGTCTTGTTGAAATCATAGAATTACTGACTCTCATATTCTTTATCTGTAAAAGAGATGTAATAGCCATCTCAGAATTGTTATATAGATTAAATAGATGATGAAATGTGCTTAAATTTACTATTCTAAAAAAAAGAAATTGGATGTGCTTAATAAATTTCCTTATTTTGTGTAATAATTAATTCTGTTATGTGTAAAGATTTTAGACAACGTAAAACAATTCTACCCAACACCAAGGAATTGTTTAATTGGGTTTTTATAAGGTTACTTCCAGAAATTCATGGAAAATGGAATTAAAAGATGTTTATTTTGGTGTAAAACAATTTTAAATGTTTGTATAGTTTTTCATATTATTTTTTCATATTATTTCCATGGACTTTTAGAGAATCCCTAACATCTGTGGATTTTAAAGGTTTTTTTTTGCCTTTGAAGTCTATTTTTCAACAAACTTTTTGAATTACCTAGTTGATTAGTAAGTAGGAGTTGATTGGGTTTGATACTCAGACTTCATGATATTTTAGAAATTAATTATGTGGAGGCATTAATACCATACTGGAGAATATTCTAGGATAAAAAGGGATGATTTCAGGTGAAAATAGTAAACATGAATACTTTATTTATATAAATAGTAAATCTGAAGGATTTCTACCTGCAAAATTGCTTCAGGAACACTGAGAATAAAAACACTGAATCAGATGATCAAATCATTCTTGACTTTGAAGTTTGAATTTAGAAGCTCTAAGAAATTGTTTCCTCATACTATTTAAGGAAAATTAGCCCTTTGTATCTGCAAGTTTTATATCCTCAGATTCAAACAACTGCAGATTGAAAATATTCAGAAAAAACTGTATTGAACACAATCGTTTTTTTCTCCACATTATCACCCAAACAATACAGTACAGCAACTATGTATATAACATTTATGCTGTATTAGGTATTAAAAAAATCCAGAGATGATTCGAAGCATATGGGAGGATTGCCTAGGCTATATGCAAATACTGTGTCATTTTATATAAGGGACTTGAGCATCTGCAGACTTGTGGTATCTGCCAAGGTCCTGGAACCAGTTAGTCCTTCACTGTATCTCCAAAGTGAGGAGGTGAAATAGTAGAGACTTCCCTAGTCTTTCTCTCCTGATCTGAAGAATGCATAATCATCTTTCACATTTTCGGAAGATAATTGCTTTATACAGGTAGATTACTTCATATTTCAATCAAAGTCTATATAATAAGTTCCAATTAACCTTGTATTTTAAGATACTAAAATATAGGGATATCTCTTAATTTTATATGAATAATTTCACAAATATAACATTAAATTTTAAAATGAATGTTTTTAACAAATAATTTCCATTAAAAGCATGCCTTCCAGAACAGATCGATATACTTAACATAAAATACAACAGAAATTGAGATAGAAGTAAGCTTTTTAAACTAACGGGGTTAATACTTGAATCCTTAGAAGTGAAGGGTTAAAAATGTAATAAACTCAATTATGTTTGGGAAATTGTACTATTTTGTGAGTTATTTTATGCCCAAAGTGCCCACTAAGATTCCACAGCATAAATTGTGCTATTTATGATCATTAAATACAGTTTAAATTTTATCCTAGGAATATCTTCTCTAACTATGAATCTAATGTTGTTCACTAAATGAGGACAATATTGATTGTCATATGCTGCCCAAATCGATCATGCTGGCAGCCAGAATTACAGTAATCTGTCAGTATTGATGACTGTCTTTCAGGCTTTGAAACCTCTCCTTCACTTCACTTGTCCTTTCTTGCATTACTTGTACTTGAAAAGCATTTTCCTGC